TCAAAAAAAAAAAAAAAACTTTACCACCCTCAGGAAAGTGTTAATCAAAATACCAAAATTTAAGCTGCTTACTCAAAACAGAATATGCTTTGACTAAATGTCTATATTGCTAATTTAATAATTAGGCTTATGAAGTCTTAGGATAGAATGGCTCTTCAAAATCACCTTGACAAAGGGGCCAGGAAGTGGCATGGTGTTTAAGGCGTTGGACTCCCACATGGCTGATCACGATTCAAGTCTCAGACCTGGTGACTTGAAAATCGTGCTGGGTGTGTGTGTACACATACCCAAAATCCGTAGGGGAGAATGGACAAGAAGGGATTGCAGCATGACTGTCCCTTCCAGGGGATGGTTCCTCACTTTCTCTCTCTCTGTCTCCAGCAAGCACATGCATCCTAGGGCAAAAACCCTAAAAATTAAAATAAAATACAAAATAAAAGGACTTAGTATATGCTAGCTGATGTTATATTTCTGCATGTGCTCTGGCTCCACAGCTAAACTGAACACCCTTCAGGCCTGCAGCGGTTCTGGGCATGTCTTGGTTTCCCGAGAGCTCAGCATGTGCTGTTCATTACGGGACCTTTACTGTTGACTAATAACAAAGAAGCATAGATCTTCCACTTTGTAACTCAAAATGTTTCATGGATCTATTCATTATTTACCTGTACCACTTTTGAAAAAAAAATTTCAGATAGCTTATGATCAAAGCTTTGGAAAAATAATCATTGTTAGATTAAAAATATTTTTAGTATAAAAAACAAATAGGCCCCAAATTGATGCCTTTGTACTCGGATTGTGCCTCATTTTACATTTATTTCTGGGCTTTGCGAAGAAAGGAAAAATAAGTTTTAGGATTATGGTTACTTGATTGTTTAAGTAGGCATGCCAGTTCTTTGACTGCAAAGATGATCCTGGCACCAACTCTAAAATACATATATCCTTTACCAAAGCATACAGAACCATAGAGATGAAAGAGGTCTTTAATTGTTGTCGTTGTTGTTAGAAAATAGAGAAGTAATCTTGGGATAATTGATGCTCCGTTTCTCAGTACTCAGGTGAAGTTGCCTCAGACAGGCCTAGAACTTCCACACCAGTCGGAATAGGTGGATATCTTCCTAGTGTCCTTAATGATGTTCTGCTTTGCAGACTTCTGTTTTAATTAAATGTATTTATTTATTTTTCCCTGAGAGAGATAGAGAGTTGGGGGAGTGGGAGTAGAGCAAGACACAGCTCAGTAAGGTCTTCCTGCCACAGCCCACTCCCAATCCCAGCTGGCCCAGATC